TTAGAACTAGAATTTATACTTGGCATCTCTTTCATTTGTAAATATTTTTTCTGGTAGAATAATAAATGTGATTAGAGATAAAAGTAAACTTACACTTAATTATTCATTTAAATTATGCTGTATATAATTCATTTAGAATATCATGTTTTGAAAATTTCAATGATTTAAATTTATAAAAATATTAATTTTTTGAATTTTACTCAATAAATTTTCAGGATATTTGAGTTGGGCCCACAATCACCCCTGTTGATTAACAGCTTTATTTTCTTTTGTAATTTTTTTTTAAAAACTGTTTCGATACAAACTTGACAGTTTGTAGCTTTTAATTGAATACTATTCTTAAATTTGTAATTTAACTTTTGTCCTAGGATTTATATACATGGGAGATTATATGCATAGTTGGTTAGCTGCTACCCAATACATTGCACCACTCATGGCAAATTTTGATACTAGTCTAAGTAACGAGTCAACAGTGAGATACTGTGATAATGGTAGGTTGCATTAAAGAGTGTGTAATATTCTTTATTTGTTGACATATGCCATTCCATTATGTTTGTGACATGTATCCTTGTTTTTCCAGGTACTGCTTTTATTATTGAATGGCACGAAGTTACTTTACAAGATGAAAAGAAAGGTGCAGTATTTTTTTATTTTTAACTGCAGTACGAAGTTCTATATCCAGACTTCAGATAATAGGAAGGATCTCTTCAACAATCAAAATGAGCAAAACTTATTCCCTTTTTTAAGAGCAAAATATGTAGGGTTGAGAATTTTCTGCTTCTTTATGATATTAACCTGACTTCAGATTTTTGTTCGATACTTAATCCGATTTTTGCTATATGAAAAATAAATTTGGATATTACTGAAACGGAATTGAAAATTTTACTACAGTGCGAAAAAAACTCTTATTTTTGTTCTCCCGTCTCGCATAAAAGGATCATTGCTGCCAAGAATCACTCATTAAACGTCAAAGTGGACAAAAATTTAACCTCTTCTCTTCTCTGTCAACCTAAAAGCCCCTTGCAGGCCTTGGGCTTCCTCAACAGCTGACAAAGGCCAGCGTCTCCTATCCAAGGCAACTCCCTTCCAATTCATAATCTTTAAGGTTTTCAGGTGATTATCGATGTTGCTGAGCCATCTGGTAGGTGGTCTGCCTGTGGGACGTGACTCCTCGGGGGTTCTTAAAGTTGGCGATTCTCATGGCGCTATTTTCAAGGCTTCTCTAAAAAAAATTTAACATGTTGGAAAAATAGCAGATTTGAGATGAAATTGTCGTGACTAAAGCGAATCATTAAGTGATTATTCAAAATCATTTTGCGGATCTACTAATATTATTTTAAAAATGAGATTGAATTTTTAAAAATTAATGTGGAAATTGCAAACTAGAAAATGCGATTGGCAAAACGGCGGGGACAATAACATCGCAAATTGAGTGTCTCAAAAATTAATTCCACAAATGCATGATTCTAAATTCCCCATGTGTGATAATATAGCATTAAAAAACTATGAAAATCTATAGCAATAGCAGGCATAAAAGGGATCGTAAATCCACTCAGATTGTTGGTGAATCATTATGAAGTCTTTTTAATTACTAATCGAAAAAATGATTGTAAAAGCCAGGCAGTTTAGCTGTAGAATCTAATCAAGGGATTTTAAAATCCATGTGGAAGTCAGTCAAACTATGAGGGTTTATTCGTTGATTGAAATTAGTGTTGATATCTGATATCGTCTACTTGTTATTTTGTATTTAATAAGGATATTTTGATGTTAACCTTAAAGATCTATTATCCAGAAAAATCTGTTTTCTGGACTTGCCGAAGTCCTGACAATTCCAGATGTGGGAATTTCCACTGTATTTTGTGTATTATTTTTTAGTTTGTTTACCATAATCTGTCTTGGCTTCTCTAAACTATTCTACTATATTGCCTTAAACCTTTAAAGAATACAAATAAGCTAATGCTTCATGATGACCTTAAATAACTTATTGAAAGCATTTTAATTTATAACTGGCTTTGATGTGTGGCTGCTTTCTGTTGATGTTCATTTCTATAATCTTGAATTGGGTGCCTGATTCGGAAGTCAAGTGAGCTATTTAGTCATGTATCAGTAAATTTGAAGATTTTATTGTAATGAAGTTAATCGACATTTGCTTTACTGGGAGAAAAAACCATTGAGAGTTTCTTATCTAGTTCAATGTCAATGAAACTCTATTATATTTGTTGGCTTTTGAAGCATCAATAAGCTTGAAATGTACTAGTTTTAAAAAAAAACATTAATGAAATAAATAAAAAAATGCTTTGTACGAACACAAAAATTTGGTTTACTCTAATTTTTTTATAAGTGGAGTTAGACTACTATTCAAACAAGGCCTATATTTGATCTCTGCGCTATGATTATTGCAGGTCAGGAATGACATTTGAATTGCAAAGATTGGTCTAAGTAAGCACCTGTCATCCTGTTTCTAACATTATTAAGAAATAGTATTATTAAAATTTAAAGAGAATCACATCGTAAAAAATGCTATCATATTTTCTAAAAAAATTGATTTTACTTATATTTCTATCATTGTTTTAGTCTGCCATGTTGAAAATAAGTTAATAATAAGTTATCACTCTTAATTTCATTTTACATAACATAGATATAAATATTCTTTTTGATTTGCTATTTTCTTAGTTTCAGCTGTTTTCTTCTAGTTTTTATGAATATTTGAGTTACTGCTTTAAAGTTTTATCAATATTAGTTTAATCAGTTTTCCCCCCTTTCTTTTAGGAGGAAATTTCACATTTCAATGTATTTTAAAGAATAATGGAGACATCATATTTGTCTACAAGGATGTAAGCTCTTTTTTAGTAAAAGATTTAATCTATTTCATAATTATTTCCTTATATTAATTGTTGTGTTTAAATAATTTCTAGTTTCGAAAATGATTATTTAAATTATAAAATTTTTGTGACTTGAAAGTCTTTTTACATGGGCTTTGTAGCATCTGCAGGGATGAGATTTTTCCGCTTTTTAGCTGATTTCCGCTTTTATCTCTCAAATTTCTGCCTTTTTATCAAAAACTCTGATTCTCTAAAAGTTAAGTTTTTTTAAAAATAAATATTCTGCTTTTTTTTAAAATTCTGTCGTTGAAATAAAATTATTATATTTATTTTCGATTTTCAAAGATAAACAGAAAACTCAAACTATGTAGCTGCCAACCCTTCTGCATTTGTACTTATTTTAGCTATTTTTTCCGCTTTAACTCGCAAAAAATAAGATTTTCCGCATTTTTATCATTCTCGCTAGATAGCTCGTAATTTCGTAATTCAGGTGTTACTTTCCGTTTGCTGGTGCAAAAGTAAACGAAATAATAATTTTTAAAACAAAAACGGTGAATTTGTGATGAAAATATTTATTCCCTTATTCAATTAATCTTGTAAATTTTATTTATTATGGCTAAACAAAGCCAATGCAAACAACCCTGTTAGAAAACCCAAGCCCAGAATCTGCTAATATCTCTATTCTTATTCACAAAATTAAAATATCGTACACTGCAACTCTTATTTACGAGATTTAAAAATCCAATAACGTAATTTGTATTTACGTGTTTGTAAAACCCTATGTGGTGATTCGTATTCACAAGAGTTTAAAATCCAATGTCGATTCGTTTATGCAGTTGTAATATCAAACATCGATTTTCATATTTATATGTAATTTAAAAATTAGACATTCGAATTCACGCGATTTAAAAATTATGCATCGCGATTCGTATTTACCCGAAATCCAATATTGAGTTTCATATTCACATGATTTAAAAGCCACATATCGGTATTCATATTCTCCCATTTTAAAATCAAATATTGCAATACTTATTCACACGATTTTAAAATCCGGCATGTGATTCATATTCATCCAATTTTGAATTTATATTCGGGATTTATAATATGTATGTACAGTCGAACCCCGCTATAGTGAACCTGGGATATAGTGAACACTCGGATGTAGTGAACTTTTTTAGCGGTCCCGTCCGTATTCCTATTTAAATAATGTTATTTTTAACGCTTATAGTGAACAGCTTAGAACTTGGAAACTCGGTTATAGTGGACTCAAATTTCATTTCTTTAAATATCTTTTTCAGTCCTCCATCTTTAAACTTGTAGGTGTTGGGACTGAAAATGAATGCATTCCTATAAAATGTGTCATATTACTCTCCTTTATGCTTATCACTTTTAACTATACTGTAATAAATGTCAAACAGATCATTTATCTTATACTCCCCCCTCCCTGACAAGCCTCGCTTTATCTCTTTTCCCCAAGCTTGCTCTACAACTAGNATTTCTTATTCTTCCGTCGTGGAGGCATACTCAGGTCTCACTAAACGTTTGCCACTAACAAATAATCATAGACTATTTTCAACGTCCCGCTACAGCACTTTATTTATACGCTTTCAGCATCAATTCAGAGGGCGCTGCGCGCGCCACGCACGCGCGATGGCTCTGAAACTTTATTAATTTGCATAATATCCTATATCCATTATTAAAATAATATTTCATTTGATTCTGATGATTCCTTCATGGTGTTGCATTTTCTACAAACAGCAGTTTATTTACCCGAAATCCAATATTGAGTTTCATATTCACGATTTAAAAGCCACATATCGATATTCCTATTCTCCCATTTTAAAATCAAATATTGCAATACTTATTCACACGATTTTAAAATCTGGCATGTGATTCATATTCATCCAATTTTGAATTTATATTCGGATTTTATAATATGTATGTATATATATTTATTCTTGGATTTCCTCTGTTTTACTTTCCGACTACTCTTATCCGTGCATCTGATAAATTAATTTTCTGCTGATTAATGCATTATATCTATTCTTTTATCTTTTCCTTAGCTCCCCTTGGGAGTCACAGAAATCGGTGATGATGCCCATCCAGTTAAAGTTGGATTGTCAGATGCATATGTCATCGATAGAGTCATTTATTGTAAGCCGTATTTTTATCACTAGCATTCATTACTACAATATATTTGATTATATGTTGCTTTTTCACTCTGAAAAATGAATTTATTCTGTTAGGTAAAAAACATTTCGTAATTTCTTATTTACAGGGTATCTGCGCACCTGGAAAGTCAGGAAAAATCATGGAAAGTCATGAATTTTGTCATTGAACAAAATTTGTCATAAAATGTCATGATTTTAACTATTTTTTAAAAAAAACCATGAAAAGTCATGGAGTTAGGTCGCCGAAAAATTTTATTTTTAGAATGGGATTCCTCTGCCCCCCCCCCCCCCCATCANTCCAGCCCCCCCATATCATGGTGTTCCAAATATCTGAATTTGTAACAAAATCCCTACTCAGATTCATATTTTATTAAAGTATAAAATGTTTTTATCATGTTCTTTAAAAATTATGGTGTTCTTTCAAAAAATTAAAGAAAAAATATCATTTCTAGAGTGGAGTATGTTTTAAACTTCTGTGATTTCATCATTATTATTATTATTTTTTATTTATTATTTTTATTTTATCAATTTAAAATTCTAGCTTAAAGCAAGCTAGTCATTGGCAAATTTTTTTAACTCTGAAATGAGAATAGAAAAAACAAGAGTATTTCTTTCCTTTCTGATGAACAAGAAAATTACCTTTAGAATATAATTCTGCAGAAAAAAAAAAAAATTTATTTGCTCAGCTATTATTTTTTCAGCTATTTTATTGCTTCAACTCTTTCTCTACTCTGTTTTTTGAATTTAAAATCAATAAATATAAAGATGCAGAGTAAAACAGTTTTGGTTATACTTATCATTTCAATGAATGTTATTAGAGCATTTTTTAAATTTATTATTCTGTTTTTGTCGGAGAAAATAGTAACCTCAATAAGTCATGAAAAGTTCTTGGAATTAGTCATGGAAAGTCATGAATTTGAAAATCTAAAATGTAGCAGATACCCTGTATTTAGCTAAGAAGAAAGAAAAATTAGTAGAAAAATTTATTAAGCAGATTTTTCTGACATGTTTTTCTATTTTAAATATTGATTGGGATTTAGTAACAGCCTTTTTCTGAATAATTATTTTAAATCCCTGAAGCAGTGGTCTCAGACTATTTTTTCGGGGTTTATATCTGCTGCAGTGGGAACGATAGTAAAAATTTTTCATTTTTAATAAATGTTATATAGCTGCCAGCTGTTCAGAATTTTTCGAATTGGTTCCGTTCCTAATTTTTAAATCAAATCCGAAAATCTGATATATTTTTATTAAAATCCAAATTTTCGTGAAATTGCTGTAAGATTGTAGCAAGTGCGCTTCTGTGATTATTGTGCCAAAGTAATTTTTAGTAGCTTTTTATTGGAAAATACTATTCCAATAGCTATTGCTGATCATTTCACTAAATTGAATCTTTAAGAACTATTATTATTTTTAAAAAAAATGTCTTGTAGTATTTAAACACTTGCATCAAAAATATTTGCTTATGATGCAGATTATAATTTGGAGAAGAATAATTATATATTAATAGGTAATGGTTGTTTTTAAACTATTATACTGGTATTCCTACTTATAAAATATTAATATTATAAATTTCGCACGGAAGATAGTGTTTATAGTTTTATCTTACTAATTTACATGAGGTATTTAAATATATGTCTATTAATGTTATTATTTAATAGTTAAATTTTTGTCTTACTCTTGTAATTGATGCATATAATTTTGTCGCATATAGTGTTCCTAATTTTGGCAGCTATAAAATATTGATTGAGTTTTGGTAACAGCCTTTTTCTAAATAAGTATTTTAAATCCCAGAAGCAGTGGTCTCAGGCTATTGTTTCGGGGTGTATGTCTGCTGCAGTGAAAAGATAGTAAAAAATTTTCTTTTTTCAGTAAATGTTATAAAAAAGCACAATTTCCTGTTACATATTCTATATTCATCTGATAAAATTTAATGTGATTTTTCTCCAAATATTAACTTTTGACTAATATAGATATATGACTAATTAATATTTGACAAATATTTTATTTTATAATAAATTTGACAATAAAGTAATATTGACAATTTTATAATAAATTTAATATTTTTGCATAATAAATTTGACTAATATAGATTATATGAGATAACTAATTATTCTAATATATAAATATTAATATAATTAGTCCCCTCATAATGAACTTAATATTGATAATTTTTTCTTAAGACCATATATTTAAGTATAGATATTAACAACCAGCAATGAAAAAACTTCAAAAAGGAAAATTTAGTGACAGTTTTAAATTGTTATTGGATAGAAAAATTTAATTATTGTCCCCTCAGTTACACGCTTTAAAAGCCCATGAAGAAAATACTTATTTTTAATGAATTAATTATTTAGTAACCATAAGAAAACATTTTAAATAATATTTAATTTAAAATTTAATTTTTTTACAAAATTAAATTATATCTAGAATTTTAAAGAAATATGCAGAATTTGTATGAAAATTTTTACTTTTTTTTTGTTGCAAAAACCATCTTTATACTACTTTAAGTAAGACGACATTTTGTAAACAAACACATAATTTAAAGCTAAAACTCTCTTTAGTATTTTTAAAATGTGTTTTTTTTTAATGAAAAAAAAATGCTAGTATTTGTTTTATGTTTCCAAATGTAATTATTTCATATAAATGTGCAGAAATCAGGCTTGGGGTGATTATTTAAATTAAACCTTATTTCCCTTTTTTTGTATGTCTTGTGCATGCGATTACATTTCATCTAAACAGAGCTGTAAAATTTCAGTTAATGTTTACTCGGGAAGAAGTTTAATTCATGATCTTCTGTTAATCACCTATATTTTTACAATTTATCTAATATTAAGAAATATCCATGAGCAATTAAAGCAGAAATGGCAAATTTTTATAACATTTAATTTTTTGAAAGTAATTTTTAGTTCTACTCACATTTAAAAAAAAAAACTGACAAAATTTAAATTACAAAATTGAGATGTTAACGTTGCAAAAATTTTAACAAGCAATTGTGCAGATATTCTAAATTATTTGATTCGTAATAAGAATAAAAAGTGAATACAAAAATGCCAAATAAGTTTCCAATTAAGAATTTTATAAAATAAATAGTTAAAAATTAATACATTTAAAATTAAAAAATAATACATTTGTTTCGTTATTCAGTTTTATTTTACAAAGTTAATATTTTGATATTCTAAATCAAACCACAGTTAAACACAAAATATATTTATAATTATCTAAACACTTATAAGTAGATTAATTTATATTAATATTAATAGCTGTCATAAATTTACTCTCAAGTTTTAAAATATTTCAATATGTTTACTAACAATGTTCCTATTGTCAAATATTCTATTATTGCTTGAAATCTGACAAAAAAGAAACTAAATATGTGATAACATTACCAAATTAATCAAACACATTAAAAGTTTTCCAAGTAAAGTAATTATAGACCCTGAGGTAATTACTGTCCCCTTTAAATGTGTTTCAAGTAGGGACAGTAATTACAAAGTTTACAATTAATTGCAGAACTACAGTATTTCCTAAACAGATAAAAAAATCTTATTTCTTCAATTAAACTATTAATATTTTATAGAAGTTGTTATATTTTATACAAATCAGAAATATTTACTTGCTTGTTATATCTTAGAAAAAAATCAGAGGACAGTAATTACATTCCGTAAATTTTTTCTTTGCCATATATTCCACCCATATATATTCTTTGAGGTGTGATTACGCTTATTGACCCTAAAAAATATGGTTCTGCAATTTAACTTAATTGTTCTGTTGAGAGGAGTTATATAATCTGGAAGTTATATTTTATTCAACTAGAGCCATCTGTAGTGTTTTATTGGCACTTATTATTCAGGCACTTATTATTCACAATTATTATTCAGGATAATAATTGCACAAAAGTTGGAGACCTACAAAATGATGTGTGGAACAAAATATACACGTTATTCGAGGAATATATGGATTGTACAAATATGTTAAGCACAAAATGTGTTTGATACCTATATATATTTTTTTATTCCTAGTGAGTATTTTAATCCAAATATACCAATAAATAATGAAAATAAATATTTTAATGATAAGTATTGCTTGAGACACAAAAGTTAACCAATTGAGAAAATAACCTTGTAGTATTCAATTTCTGGTCTGAAAAAGAAATGATTTATTAAATATGATTAAATGATTTATGAGATTTATTTATTCAATTAATAGACCTAGCTGCAAAATTATAAAATTATATCTAATGTTTTATAACAAGACTGATTGTTGTAAATTGTTGCCCATTCTTTTTAAATGATGAATAATTTTATTTTGTGTACCACAACAGCAGAAATGCTGACGTTGAAACATCCCATCTCAGAGTATTAAGAGGAACTGTACTGTGAAATTAAAGAATAGATTTTTAATCACTATAACTTGATTAAAACTTAAATAATTCTGCAGAGCACTTAGGAGGTGTAATAGGTACTTCCAGTATTATGGTAGTATTTTTATAGCCCTAGGATCAAAATAGTATCAGAAAAATTATGCCCACAGTCCAAATATAGTTCTAAAATATGTACTCTTAGTATGAGATCTTTGCTCTAAAGTAAAATTTTAAATTAGATAATTTTTAACGAAAATCCAAAAAATGAGGGATGAAATTAACAGTGTTTTACAGTGTTAAAATTTACAGTGTATTTAAAATATAATCAGATATAAATATATTTTTTATATCTGAATATTTTTTTAATTAAAATTTTATATTTTCATTTTTATTGACCAATTGTATTGGTAGTATTTTTTTCATATCCAAAATATATTGCATATTGTTACCTTTTGAGATAATAATTGCTCTATTTTAAAATATGAAATTATTTTTCGTAAGCATTATGTTAGCAAAAGCAATATCATTGTAAAATTAAAATGTTCATATTATTTTTTTAGTTATCCGCAGAAAAACTATTTACGAATATCATAGAATTGATATGAAGAAAGAAGAGATTACAAACAAGACTGCTATTCTTTTCACTGCCTTAAAAAGTATGCTTTTTTTTTTTTTTTTTAGTAAATAAAAATGTAACTTTTTTTAATTTCTTAAGCTAAATGATATAAGACTTTGCTTAAGAGGGAAATAATTAAGGTTGTTTTCTACTACTGATGTATAAAGTCCCAGCTCTTATTCATTTACATTATCTTTAAGAAAAATGATAAAATTAGCATTCAAATTTTGCATAAATTACTTAATATTACTGGTAAATAATTTGTTATCCGTCATTTTTTTTTTTTTTTTTTTTTTTTTTTTTTTTTTGCCTTAAAGAGTGCTAAAAGTTTTTGAAGTTTTATCAAAGTTTGTATCATTTGTTTACTATTGTTATTTTTTTCCATAATTTATTGACGATATTTTCATAATTTGGTTCTTTATTTTTATTTATTTAGTTCTTTGTTAATAGCCTCTTACTTTGATTTACTATTTATTTGCAATATTATGTTTGTACAGATGAATTTATTTGTTAAATTAACTCCTCATAACTGCTTTCTATTTTTATAAATTGCATGTTGACATGTAGCTGTTCATTTTATTATTAATATTCCATGAACTTTACTTATAAAATGGTTCGAAAACAAAACTGTTCTTATGCAGTTTTTAATCCAACATTTTAGCCAACTATGTCACCAATAATAATTTAAGATTAATTATTTTGCAAACTTAATTTGTAAATTGTTTAAAATTTCATGGCGAATTTTTAATTACTTCTCATTAAGATAAGGAACAGTATGCATATACTTACACATCAGCATATGATTTATTAACTAGCAAATTTCTGGTTTGAAAGAATCTAATGCTGCAACAGAAAGATGCTGTAGCAGAAATTGTTATTAAATTCTTGTTTTTTTTTATTATAGTTTTTTAATACCTTACCACAAGATTTTTCGAATTTAGATTTATTTTATTTGTAAATCTGATGTAATATTGCAAGAATTTTAGATAAGTGTAATATTTTCTTGATGTGCTTTGTTCCAATATGCTTCTATTATATATAAGCATCCTTTACTATCCTTTTATTGGCTGTTATTTATCACTTTTTGGACTATTTTCTTGTGGTTTTTAAAATTCTGGTATTTAATTACAATATTGTTACATAGCATAAGTCATTAATTTTAGCAGCCGTGCCAACTCTCCCACATTTTGCGGGAGTTTCCCGCCCTCCGGAATTGATTCAAAAAACTCCCGAATTTTACTGCAACTGACGGCCAAACTCAAAATTACCTAATTTTTCCGCGAGTGAGGAAGTTTTGTTTTTCTTTCTTGAATTCCACCCCCTCTTATCGAACTACCATCTGCCTGAAGCGTAGCTGCACGTGCTTTATTTTCCCCCCTCTTCAACACTCCTATTTCACCCGCCCCCTTCCACTGGGATTCGTAGGAATCTTCTTCCTCTCCTTTCGTGTGGAGTTGAATGCGATGACGTCACATGACGATATCGAGTGACGTCCGTACAGGAGTGGGGAAACTCGTACTCTCGATACTTAGAATTTATATTGTATCTTGCTGTTTTTATAGTTTTTAATGCGTATTTTTCCACGGTTGGCAGCAAACTTGTAAACTAGCAACGTGATATCCATTATTCGTTTAGTCTTCGTATATTAAAAAAAAAAATTATATTTTTTTTCAAGGATGTCTAAGCTGAAACGGAAATATGCAACCAATTTCAACAAATCATGTACCAATGACTTTAACAAGACTTAATTGCGAAGAGCTAAATCCGCAACTCTTTTTTTATGCATACATTAGAGACCCATTTATCCGGTATCCAGATAATCCGGGGGGAAATTTCACTCGTTTCTCCCGCCATTTTGAACTAAAACAATATGGGGGGGAAAGAAGCGAAAATTGTTCTCATCCTTGAAATTGAGTAGAAGAAAATGTGACAAAGGGGAGAATATTTTTACCCAGAGAAACGTCATTTCTTCCACGACCTTGAAGATTTTAGATCTTTATTTTCTCCTTGCCCCCCTAGGCCGTCAATCAAACTCAAAGGAGTGGCATGCTGATGTCGTTTTCTGTTTGATTTACGAGGGGGTGGGGAAAATGCATTGCACATGCATATCAGTGAAACAGAAGATGAAAGAGAAAAATATATGTATCTATTTGACATCGATTAATAAAAATATAATATTTTTCTTTTGAATAAATTCTGAAGTGCGGTATCATTCGCAAGTTTTTCTTCATGTGGAGTCGCAGCTACTTTAATAAGAAATAAGAAATCGTGTTCTTATTAAAAAAAAAAAAAAAAAGGAGAATTGTTTATTAATTTAAGCATACAATTATTTTATGAAGCAGATGTTTTGTTTTTCTGATTCCACTATGTTTGAATTTTTTTTTCTTCCTTTTCATAATAAATTTTGCACTCAATGAATAATTTTTATTCCTAAATTTTATCATTAGCTTTTTTTTTTTTTAATTCCGCTGATCTTGCCTTGTTCCAGGTTTTAATATTTGTGCTAGTGCCTTTTTTTAACTATCGTTTCGGTTCAATAATTTTCAAGTGTTGTTTTTATTTAGATTAATAAGTTTTCCTTTTATTTTATCGTCCCCCCCCCATATAGGTATGAAATATTATTGCACTATTTAATTATTGGTTTTGTTTATTAGTTAATTTAGGAATTGTATTTATTATTTAAACTTGTTTTTCTTGTCTTAACTTGCAAATTTTTTTATTCTTTTAAATGTTATTTTTCTACAATTTTTTTCCTTTTTTGATTTAGGAGTGCTTTTCTTTTTTCTCTTACTTTAAAATGTGTTTACACTTTTTCCTTGTCATTTGGGTTCGATAAAACATTGATTAATGACACTTTTTGGTCGAACCGGGAAAACTGGGAATTAAGACTTAATTTTGCATTCTTATATTTAATAAATTGTTTACTTAAAATTCCTTAGAAGTATCAAATGTTGCATACCGTGCACCTTTTTTTTGAGGTTTGCAACGAATGGTGGGTGGTAATCCATGGTTTGTTATGCTGAGTTCATGTTATAAAAAGACTCCATGTTGCAAACACCATTTAAATTTGATAAAATTAAGTTTACATGGACAGTGCTCTATTGTTCATCTTGTAATATAATATTTACTTTAGTCAAAACTGCATCAATAATAAAATTTAAATTTAGTTCTCGAAACAAAAATTTATAAATCTTATATTTTGTCTAAGCTATTTAGTGCATAATTTTGATGATGAAGCATATTTAGGTATCTTGTAGTATGAAAATAGTATAAAACTGTTTTATGAACTTTTATCTGAGTATCAGTATTGTGGTGTGGCTAAATCAAAAAGGGGGGTGACTAACATTAAGTCAAATTAAGATTAAATAAAATTTAGATACTAATTATGTAAAGGCCGAAAATGTATAAGTGGTTAACAGTGGAAGTGGGTGCAATTATTCAGGTAAGCGCAACAAAGGAGCATGCTGAAAAAAAAGGAAGAGAAAACAACTTATACCGTAAAATTACTCACCAGACTCATAGTTAATGATGCAGAAAATCATAGTTTATTTGTAAAATAACATTTAAAAACAGGTAAAAATGCTTGGCAAACATGCCAACACCAGAAATCTCGGCCTAAGCCGCAAAAACTAAACAAAACTACAATTGAGAGAAAAACAACTGCTACTGACTATTTCTTCATTATGAAGATAGGGGAGAAAACTCTCGCCAAAAAAATTAAACTTTTGCGAATAACCATTTGGTTGGCTGGAGAAGGATCAGAGGGGCAAATCACAGAGCTGCAAATATTGGCCAACTGGCGAAATTAATTGTTAAGCTCCATGCCAAACATGAAGCGGGGTTGTCTAAAGTGGTGATACACCTGGTAAAGAATTTTGTGGAATGTTCTGGAACATTCTTGGCGCCATCATAAGATCAAAAGGGGCGCTTTGCAATTGATGCAAGCCGAAACGTGGGAAAGAGGACTTGCTGACATTCCTTCTCCATCCAACAATAGGGGTTTGCTGACTGGACATACATCTTGCTGTCAGCAAGTAACAAAAGGAGGAATCTTCTTTTAAAGGAAGAACATACATGCAGAGAAAGATTACTTTCCCAAGGTTACAAAACAAATTGAGGCTTAAAACTTAAATATTACATGAAATATATTGCAAAGAATTATTGAATACTGATAACTAAATAACATTAATTACAAGTGTAAAAAGAAGAAATTAAAAAACATACAATTAAAAGTTTATCACAAATTTAACAGTTACAATTATTTAAGCGTTTAATACATTATTAACAAATTAACAAATTAACAATTAACAAATGATTATTAAATTAGATGAATGATGATGATTAAATAAATTAAGATGATTAAATAATTAAGTTAGATAATTAAATTAGGATTAACAATTGATTTTACTTAATATGTAGTATACCATACTACAAGTATTATTAGTTATTACAATGGTGACTATTTAGTAATCTTTTTATGGCAATAATGTAAGTATTTAAATGCAATATAGTAAAATCTTTATTGGTAATGTTGCATTTTCTGTGACACAAAATGTATTGTGATATTGCTTTAAACAATTCTAGTATGAACCCAGGTTTTGCTACTAGTATTTTAGCATAAGCAAATTTTACTACTTATTTTAAAAAAATAAAGTTAAACTCTGTTACATATTAGATAACACTAGAATTACTTACAGAAATAATGAAAAAAATCGCAATAGATTATTCTAAACAGCTTAACAATTTTCTAAATGTTGCTTTTTAAAAATAAGTTTAGAAAGCGTTATGAAAAGAAATAAGATTAGTTTTCTAATTATGCAATTGATGTGTTTACTTTTTAGCCTGCATCTATTACACAGATTGTGAATCTTGTATGGCAGCTGACGCAGGATTAGACTGCGTTTGGTGTCAGGCTACTAGGCGTTGCTCTGATGGGCTTGACAGAATGCGTCAAGATTGGCTCAATGCTAAATGTGATGTTGAGGTTTGTAATTGTTTTTGACAATTCTTATGTCCCTAGGTGTTGTGATATCATGCTAACTTTTCATTTCCATATTTCAGAGGCACACTATAAATTGCAGCTTGTTGCCATCTGCTGATATAAATCCATATGTACAGCCTCTGACAGGTATTTATATTATGCTAATTAGATTTTTTTTATTGTTCAAATTTACTGACATAAAGAAAAACTGGTCTCAAAATGTCTTATTTTTTAAAAAAAAAATTTGAAAATAAAAGGCTATTAAAAGTACTTAATTATAGTTCAAGATTCTTGAACGTACTTAATTAACATTATTGCCAGTTGTTTCAAACAATCTTTTTTATATTTTAAAGAATACAAAAACACAAATAGTACTATTATAAATAAAATCAGATCATTACTTTTTGTACTTTCGAGATATCGAGTATTTTTTTCAGAAAAGTAAGTATTTACTTTTTTTTCCATATTGTAACTGTGCTTATATATGTTTGATAAAAAAAATTTTTTTTTATTATTATTAAAAAATTATTATAATTAATATATAAATAAAATTATTATCAATATTAAAAAAAATCTGCATTTTCTTAAGCAGTTTTATTATATAAATATTCTACAATTTCTTTGTCCAATAATCTGTGAATCCCAATAATTGCACAACAATGGATAAAAATTATCAATCAGATGAAAGTAAATGATTTCCCATTGTGTTATATTATTATTGGCTTCTGAAGGTTGCTGCCAACTCTCTGAATTCATTCAGGTAACTCTTGAATTCTAATGCTTTCTCTCAAACTCCCAATGTGAGTATGAATCTCCCAAGTTTAGTTTGAAAATAGGAAAATCCCAACAAAAAAGAATGAAGCATGGGAATAGTATAAACTGTGTGTCCTTGCAAAAATGTTTATGCAAGTCCTAATCCTGCCTTCTCAGCTTTTATTCAAGGAGAGAGAAAATAAAAATGTGAAATATAACCAGTCTCATTTGAGTCTGTGATACTCTGAAATGGATGAGAAAGAAAGAACTTATTCAAAAGAGAGAGAGAAATGTATGATGTCATAAATGCTCCGTTTAGGAACCAGCTTAAACTGATCTCGTTGGTGAAAGATTCTGTGTTTGGGTTGAATTGATTTCTGCGTGGTGAAATGATTGGAATAGTATTGAAGTGTAGTTACGATGCCTCTGCATGGTGCGTAGTGCTTATTTTCGATTATCGTTAATTAAAAGCCCTTAAAGGTGCTTTTTTCATTGGGTGTTTTTAAAAAGTGCTTAATTTTCCCATTTCAAAATGAGATAATTCCTTTACTATGGTGATTTTCGCTTCGAATTATGCAAAAAGACACAGCTCACATTGTTCTATTCAACGTTTTCATAATTAATTCGATCCCAATCTATTTTGGCGTATAATCAGTCCGTAGCGTATGAACACGCCATTCGTTTTACAGGATTCAAAATTTCATGATTTTTGACAATTGTCAAAAACAATGCCGAAAGTTTTTTTTTGTTGACATGACGGTTGAAACAAGATAAAACCGTCAATTGTCAAAAGCTTTCCAGCCCTGCCTAATTATGATATTTTTGAGTGCTTGAAAAGTGCTTAAAAGGTGCTTATTTTTGCTGAATGATTTGGCTACACACCCTATGAAAGCTCTATATTGAAATTTTATGTCAAATATATATATTTAAAATCATTTTATGTTTTTTTTTTTACATTATTCTACATCTATTCTCTTACGGCGCAGCGTCCAATCAATTGCACAATCTTTAGTTAAATGTTTGTTAAATAATATTTTAAAGTTATTTTTTTCGGTTTACATAACTTTACAATGTCTACACAAAAATATAATTGGATATAATATAATAAATATATGATCGATGATAGCAGTTTGATTTAGATGTTAGCAGTTTTTATTATTACAATGATTAACCATAAGATATGTAGCATGTTCTCGTTACCATGTTGATTTTCACCATGCATTATGCAAAAGCGTGCTTTTCACATTGTTCTATTCAATGTTTTCACAATTCATTTCGGCGTACTTTCAGTCCATAGCGTATGAAAGTGCGAATCATTTTACGTGTTTGGCGAAATACTTGCGAGTCGGCGTGTGCGTCTACTGAGCGGGATTCGGTGAGATTATTACCTTCCTGTGTGCAACTCTGCTGCATTTTGCAAGATATTCTCCATTCCCGGCTTAATTTTCCATCCTTTGATATCGAACCGACAAATCTCTCGATCATTTTATAACAGCTAATATAATCAAGAAAAGAGTTCCTTGTCAGAAACAAGTTATTTTCTACTGATCATCTAAAGTCTTCGAAAATAATTTTGTTATTGTATATAGTGCTTAAAAATATTTTTTGAGTGCTTAAAAAGTACTTAAAAGGTGCTTATTTTTTGTTGAAAGATTTGGCTATGCACCCTGCTCTGGCATTTTTAATCACATATTGACCGTTTCTTTCTTTCTTTTTTTTTTTTTTTTTTTTTTTTCGGTTTNTTTTTTTTTTTTTTTTTTTTTGTCGAATGAATGTGCACGTGTGTGTTTTCTCTTATCGCTCTTAAAAAAATTTATAAGCCTGAAAAACATTGTTACGCAATTTAAAGACTGTTAAACACACGGAAGAGTTTCCTCCTATTATTAATCTAGAAAAGGCACTTTTCTGCCTTCTGCATCTATTGTGATGTAGATATTAACATATCCCATAAGGAAATTGTTTCATAAAGGTGATAAAGTGCAGGTAGGACCAATACTTGTGCTGTAAGGAAGTTCAAGGCAAATGATGCAAAATCATGTATTGTAGCAAAATTGCAAACTCTACTGTTTTCTGTAGCAACAGATAGCAGTAATGACAGAAAAAGAATGTAGCAAAACTAAAGAATTGTTATTGAGATGTGTTTGCCATTTGATTGAGTTGGTAGTAGCAAAGGGGATAAATTTTAATGGCATAATACTCAGTGTTTTTTATTACACCAAGAAAAGCTCTTAACGAAATGAAAGAGTTTAAAACTAAGAAAACCTTGGAATTGAGATTCAAACAATTTTGAAGCATGTGAAAACAAGATGGTTGTCAATGAGATGATGTCTTGATAGTTCGAAGAGTATATTTAGATTTCTTTCCTCTGATTTTACTAAAGCTCTTTGTCAGTTTATTCAACATGCTTTACCAACTTAAGAGAATGTATGTTGTTAATTACAAAGCCAAAAACCCTTAATTCAAATTTTATTATTATTGGATATTAGTATCGTTTGTTCAATCTGAGAGTGTGTGAAGAATTATTATGTCCATTAAACGTGGATTATCAGAACTAAAATTAAATTATCTTGTTATACATTATAGAACTTCAGAAACTGTTAAATGTTTAAAACCAGAAGAAAAACTCTTGTTTTATTCAGCTGTGAAGAAGTACGATGCAGTTGTGAATGCCGAGGTTTTAAATCTTAACATAGTCAAATAAGATGAATCAACAGAAGAGAGCATACATATTATGCTCATTCACAGTTTTGATAATTACTGGTGATGAACTCAGCGGAAATCGTTCTTGAAAGTAGAATGAATAAACAGTGGTCTCTGATGGGTTGAATTATAATTCCTCTAAGGATAAAAAGGAATTTAATAAATTGGTTAAATTTGAATTAATCTTCAGTCATGTTAAGAAGGATTGAACTGATAATAGACCTTCTTTTTCTAAGAACTTGAGAAAATCTTTTGCCAATAAAATGTTCCAAAAGTAAAACAATGCTTTATTTTTGGATTTCAGCAGCGATTTTCTGTAAAAAGCTAATTCTTTATTATATTTTTATTGAGTAAAAATAGTTCTTATTAGCTGTAATTTTATGATTTATTTATTTAAGTGAAGATTATAATCTTAGATTGAGTTTTTTATATTTTTGCTATACAGTCAAACCCCGCTATAGTGAACACGGTTTATAGTGAACTCCCGGATATAGTGAACGAAATGTTAGGTCCCGTGCCTTGCTATACACGTATAAGGTTATTTTTTGTGGTTATAGTGAACCAAAAAAGGGAGGAAGTTGGATATAATGAACCTTTTTCTGTCTTCAACCGATTTTTTTCTTCATTTTTTTGTAATAATTTTGAAATTTTTACTTTAAAATAAATACATATACCGATTTTTAAAACCATCTATGGAGGGGAATTTAGCGATAAGCTTCTTTTATCTCACTTTCCCATTCCTAAACAAACCAAGCAAATATTTCCAACCCTACTGGCAGATAGTGCACCTGTAAGGTGTCAGTAGGATCAATATGAATTTTCTGTCAGGATTGCTCATCAGCTAAAGAATAGATACTAAATGTTTTTTTTTTTTTTTTTTAATTTTTCANGCGAAGAGTAATGAAAAATAACACATTTTTCGCTACTAACTAATATTTTTCAGTCATTTATTTAAATAATGTGTAATAAAAGGGAGGAGTGTTTGGGAACCATTAGTTAAATTGCCTGCGGAACGGATATAGTGAACTCCCGGTTATAGTGAACCGAAATTTCGGTCCCTTGAAGGTTCACTATAGCGGGGTTTGACTGTATTAACATATTTTTAGATTTTTTACTATATTTATTTATTAAGATTGAGTGTTTTATATTATTTTTGCAATTTTTACTACATAAACATATTTCTAGATTTTTTACTATTTTTTTTTTTTTTTTTTTTTTTTTTTTTTTTTTTTTTTTTTTTTTTTTTTTTTTTTTTTTTTTNTTTTTTTTTTTTTTTTGTATTATATTTCTTTATTTTGAAAAATCCATTTTTTTAACAAATCCCTGTTATAAAATTTTTTTGTAAATAGCCTTCCTCCAAAAAAAAAAAAAACCCTTTTTAATTTTGTGATGCTGGCTGTAATGCAGAAAACATTATTTCTTGCCGCATTTATGCTGCTAGGTACTTCTTCCAAAAGCTATCATATTTCGTTATGAAACCATGTTGATGTATGTGATTTTGATTCTTAAAAGTTGGAATTTAAAAAAAACTTGGCTACTAATATTCTTGACATTATTTCATAATCCTGTTTTGTTTCTTTCCAAAATATATCATGTGTATAGCTGCCAACTCTGCTGAATTTTCCAGTTGATTACTGGATTTTGCCAGCTTCTGATTTATCAGTTTAATAAAAAAGTTCTAGTTTTTGTACATTTTGAAAAATACCCTAAAATTGAGTTGGTTTCCTAAAAATAATCCCTATCGAAGTAGAATTTTTGTACAGATTGTTGCTTACTTGCTTGAATATTTAATCGTTACTAATACATAATGAAGCGAACCTTATTTATAGAAATCAGTTCAACACTTTTTTTTCTTCTTAAAAGCTCATTTTACTTTTATTCAGAACTCTCTTTTTAAATTAATTTTTAAACAAATCTTATCTTTGATTAATTAAATGCCTATTAATATTCGGAATTATGAGGATACATAATACATAACATTTCCAGTATGTTTAATGTTAATGATATTTGGAAAATATTGCTGTTTTTCCATTTTGATGACTATAAAATTCCCTATGTGTAAAATATCTAGCACATTGTGCAACAATTATCATAAAATTTATATTAGTTCATAAAAACTGGAGTTTTTCCTCTCCATATTGGCAGTTATGCGCGTGTACTATCCGGCTATCTCATGAACTCCTTCTGGCAGCACATTGAGTGCTGGTCATGAAGTCGGTCACTGCATGCTGGGAAGTAGGGCTAACCATTTCTCATTGGCGCTTAGGTTGGAAGAGACCTATTAGAAAGTTTTGCTATAGTAGACAACTTCAGACTTTCATCGAGGAGGAATTCTGGTGATTGCTGGATAGTATATTCTATTCCTTGTTTTGCATCAGGCTTTTAACATGGTTTTAAGACTTCTTATAATTATGGATTGTGTATTTTCTTAAGCGGCTGATAATAGCTTTCAGTATTTCTAGAATGCTGCCTTTGTTTTAGTGTACACCGTAATGCAAGCTTATGTTTTTGTTTCTAATTATAGTTTTTGGTTCTACCTCGTCAATATTTTCTGTTTACACAGTTTCTCAACTTCATCAATTCTTATTTAAAGAAACAAAAAAAGTGATGTGTATTTCTGTGATGGATTTTTTGGCTTTCCATTTCATTTTTCTGCCATTTTAGCTTTTCTTCTATTTTTCCGGTGTGGAATTTTGGTTGAAGGTTTTTTTTTTTAATCAATATAAATTCTGTTTTGTCTGGTGGGTAAAAAACCCACTTTTTTTTCATTTTGTTCTTTTTTTACTCTAATTTAGTTAAGTCTCTAAAAGGGGGGAAATAACTAGCATTTTTAAAAATGTAAAAGGATTGGCAAATAACAAACGCTAGAACCTTTTTAAAAAAAAGTTAATTAACCTGTTTACTCAGCATGCATCACACATTGCATTACATTTAACCTACACATAATTATCTTAACTTATCTTTATCGATTGTCTTATTAAATCATACAAAAAAGTTTTTATACTAGTGAATTCCTTTCAAATTGATCACTTTAATCATGTGTCGTATGGCTTATGTCTTTGTTATTAACCTTCAGTGAAATAAAAAAAATTTACTTGGTACTAACTGCAAGGAATTTAAGAGGAGGAATATAATCACTGTTTTGATTGTTTTATTTTATTATTTATTTTTATGTTTGCATGGTTTTTGTAGATTCTCCATTTAAACCTTTCACAATTTTCCCTCATACTTCAAAACCTGATATCCATTATGATCCATCCGAAGATGAACACCATTATGATGATGAAGCGTCTTCTAGTGCCAGAGGTATATAATTACATTAGCCCTGAAGTACAGCAGATAAAACCTTTTAAAAAAAAGAAAAACGTGAAGCTAATTTTCCTTTCCTCTTTTAACATACACTTACATTTACATATTTTTTTCCTGTGAAGAATAATTTCACGTTGCACTTGCATTAACTAACTTTTATGATATTGCTATCATATCTTGCTTTAACTACTAAATAACTTCTTGAATTTGTATCTAAGCGCTTTATATCTTGGGGTTTTACCATTTCAAGTCTTGTGATCAATGTTTGCACTTTTATAATGTGTTGTTTTTATATTGCATTCTACTTACTAATATCCATTCTATTTACTAATAATGCACTACCCTGCAATAATTAATCCAATGTTGCGTATTTTTACCTAACATTGTTCTAATTAATTATTTTAATTGTTTTAAATTTTTTAAAAATTTCCTGTTATTTAGATTTTAATTCTAGTCACTTATGAAATATACTGTGTGTTTCAAATAGGGAGCAATAGATTTTTTAGGGGAAAGTTGGGCATATCATAGGGAAAAATTGCATGGCATTGCACGAGAACTGTTATATGTTGCTAGATAGTGTTTTGTTAAGTGCTGAAGATGGATTTTTTTTATATATATAACCGTTGTTGAGCAGCAGACTCAATTTTGGATTTACGATGTTCAACTCTGTAGCTTTGTAATTTTTAACCCAATCCAGAAGACAAGGAATTTCCTGGATCAAGTATTGGTGAAAATTGCCTGGCCGCAGGACTTTTTAATGGAACTAACTGGTATTTGCTATACATGGAGGAAAAAAAACCCATGAAAATCTTACATGGCAAGGGTCTCTAACCCATCTATCACTGAGGATATTTTATGTCAGTACTGTGGTCGGTGCGAGCCGAATGCAGAATTTCTATCGACCAGTTATAGCTGGGTTTCGAACCCGGTTTTTATTTTTTTCGTGTCCTAATTTTTTCCTGCTGCTGTTACAATCTAAGAAACTCATGGTGTGTTTAGCAATCAATGTTGCATCTGTTACAATATTATGAACTGTATTCATCTGACACTGATGCAAGATTAATTGAAAGTAGAGTGCCCGACCATCAGTGTCATGCATTGATGTTTTAACATTGTGAACTGTATTCTTTAGTTGGCCTTGTACCTATAATGCAAATGTTCTAAGTTTTCTAACTCTCCTGTCACTTTTCCCTGATGTTTCCATTCATGGGTTACTGTGCAATTCTTCTCAATATTTATGATCTGTCCTACCATATGTTTTAATCACCCAGTATCAAAAAATTTATATTTATGGTTAATTAATTTAAAAATTGTATTTTGTGTGTGTTTTTTTAAACTAAAAACTTTTTCCCCGTTGCATTAATTTACCATTTAATAAAGGTAATATCATCAGGCTTCATTCAATGATTTATAAAAGTAATGCTTCAAATTTATATCAGAGAATGATTTTTCACAAACATGTAAAAAAGTTTTTTTGTCCTTTTAATGGTAAAATTAGGATTGAAAAGTTTGATTATAAGAAGCTGTTTCACTTGTTAATGTAGTAATGAATATCATATGCATTGCATGTATTTAAAGTAGTTTTAATTTAGGTATTAGGTAATATGAGGCTACTTAACAGAAATATAACCAGATTTGTTTTTAAAGGTTTCTTTTTCTTATGATAAAAGTTATATGGATGTAACATATTTTAAATGTCAATTGCTATGCTTACTATCTTATTTACTATGCAAGCTGCACTTAGCATTTTTCTTAATATTTACTTATGTTTACCAGGTTTGGGTTTTTTGGTTTTTAATATCAAAAGCTGGTTTTTGACCTGACACAATCTTTCAAAAACTATTGAAACCTGATAAAAACTTGGGGAAAGATTCTTTTTTGTCATTGAGGATATTTTTATTAGGAAGTTAAATCATGCATAATACTTTTATTATAATTGCTGCTTTAATTATGATTTATATTATCTATCAACATCTACAAAAAAAATATATATATATATATAGCTCAAAATTATTGAATCTATTAACTGGATTTTCTTAAAGTATAGTATTGTTAATACTTGAATATCAATGTATTTTTTGCTATATTATAACTATTCCGTTCATATTGCAAAAAATGAGTTTCTAACCTAAATGTTGATTTTAATTCTTTTATGCAGATTTTTAGCTTAAGTAAAACTAAAGTGGTCACCAATACAATACTTTTCACCTTGTCATTTTTTTCTTCTGGTTCTCAAAATATAAATGTTTGTTTAAATGAGTTAATTATTTTTTTTTCAATCAATCAATGCAAGTGTTTATAGTTTATCAATATTTAGTATGTCATTGTAGGTTTTGCAGGCCTATATTCTTATCCATGCCACTAAGCATGAATTGACAGAATATTTTCAAATTTTAAACATTACTATTAATAATCATTTAATATTTATATTAATAGATTATGATTTTCTACACCAAAATGTTGGGTTTTCGGCAGTAGTTGTCAAAACAAAAAAGGGGTTTGATGTTAAAATGATTAAAGAACATGATGGATTACTTGTAATTTTATATGTACTTTTATTTATAATAGCTAATAATTATATTTAAGAACAAAAATTTAGGTTTTTGACAATAGTCAACTATGTAATAAAGGGATTTTCGAAACTGCCGAATTTTCAAAAACTTTCATACCCTGGTTGAAACTTTTTCTTTAATTATTTATATGAAAGTATACTTAATATTTTGTTGCTTTAGTTGCTGACGAATCCTCTTCGGTTGGAGTTGGAAGCGTGGTAGCAATTTTACTTATCTTGGCTGTTGTTCTTGGTGGCTTAGTGTGGGTTGGTTATGCTTATCGAAATCCACACACCTCATCTGGGCAGCTTTTAATTAGAGTAAGTATTTGGTGTCTGACTAGTTAATTTAAAGACACTTCCATTTTAGTTGTCTAATTATTCTGTTTTTTTTCCCTCCATTTTTTTTTATTGGATACTTAACATGTATGTTACAGTGTTCTCCTCAAGCGTTTTTAGAAGGATGGCCATTCATTTTGTCTGCCCTTTGATGCACCCTCTTACTCCTTTTTGTAAAAATGAAGTGCCATCCCTTAAAAACACTGCTTTTTTATTCATATTCCATTAAAAAATATCAATTTACTGTTTAAATAATAATTACACACTGTTAAAATTATCTGTGTTTATAGGTTTAATTCTGATTACTATTACAAATGTTAATTTTGTTAGTATTTTCTATGTAGGATTTTTTTCTTCTTTTTCCCGAGGAGAGAAAGTATATTGATAAATTTGATTAAGTGATTTGCTAAGCTATACTGTGTTTTTTCTTGGACAAAGTCATTATTTGTTCTCTAAAGCACTGGTCGACAATAACAAAATCAATACAAATTTAAAATAATTATTTGTTTACGTTATTAACGCGTGCGCAATGCGAGATGTCTTCGTTGGACAGGCTGTTCATGCTGAGCTAACAAAACTATTTTGTTGGCGTCCGCGATGCAATAACTTCCCGCTGACGCCCATAGATGAAACCGGCCTTCAGCCAGATAATGATGCCTTTTCGAATTATAATAGTTTTATATTTGAACTTTTTTGCATATTTTTGCCTTTTCTGTTATTTATTTTTCTTATCAACTACTCAGAAATGAATAAAATTGTAAAGCACTTTAATTATTTCCATGCATTACTATACCTGGTTACTTATGCAGTTTAGCAATACAGTGTTATTTTTTTTTTTTTTTTTGTGAGAGTTNTTATTGTTTTTTTTTTTTTTTTTTTTTTTTTTGGTTTTTTATTTTTTTGGACTACTTTATTAAGTATTCTTTTTTTCCTCTTCTTTCCAGTACCGTCCTACTCAGTGGCGCTTTAGAAGTGGTGAGGCAAGATATACTGCAGCTTCAGTTCACATGTAAAAGTCAAATTCCAAGTTTTTTTTCTTAAAAAAAAAGAGCAAAGAAAAACAGGTTTGAAAAACAGATGGTACATTCCTTATGCAGAACACAAGTGCACCTTAAATGCCATATCATGCCAGCACAAAATTTCATTCTTGAATATCTGCATTCTTTTTTTAAACATTATTCAGTGTTCATACCTGTTTCTTTTTTAGAGAATGCAGCCAATATTTTTAATACAAATTACTGGACGTGGAATTTTTTTTCTTCTGACTACCATGTCCGTTTTTAAAATTGACTAAATACAGAATGTATGTATTTTTAACAGTTGTTATTGTATTTTAATCTGAATCGATATTATAAAGTTAAAAACTAACACTATGTTATACTTAATTACCCTATAAAAGTGCATTCAATGGAAATGAAATTCTGAAGCCTTAAAAAAATATTTTATTAATTTAATTGAAATAATTGTTTTTCTAATAATCTTAGGAATATTCAAAATATTGTTCATATTACTCAAATAAATTAATTTAAATTTAAAAAAAATTTAAATTAAGGAAAAGTAAAAACTTAATATTTTTCTCTTATTATTGCTTTTATAAAATTTTAAATTTAAGAACGTTAATTGAAAATATGAATATTTCTTCTTACAATGGTCACATATCAATTATATTTGTAAACCATTATTTTTAATTCAGTTGCTGTTATTAGTTTTAATTAAATTTGAAATAGAATGAAGCAAACCTTAAATAAATCTTTGCCTTTTTGATAATAGAATTTTGTTATAAGAAAAAGCAGAACATGGTGTGTTGGCACTTTAGGATAAACATTTAGAAACAATTAAAAATTGAATGTTTACCTCTGGGTAAACATTTTCTCGTTACAGCTTGTAGAGTATGTGCCTTTACTGCTGCTGCACGTGAAGTTTTATTTTTGAAATGTGATATTTACATGTATAGACTTTTTGCCTGAAAAATAACAAGTAATGATGAAGAACCTGAAACTTTGAATAATTTTTAAATTTTAGGAATGTTCTTTTATTCTGTTTGTGTTGTTTAAACTGAATGTATTTGTATGTGTGAAAATTTAATGAGGTCTAATTAAGTTTGAAATTTCATGTTTCGTTTGTATGAAATGACTTCTTGAATCTCTTAAGAAATTTGCTTTTATTTTATTGAGGTTGTAAAATTTTTTAAATAACATTTACATGAAGCACATATTTTTTATCAAATGTTTTATTGTGTAAAAAGGAAATAACTGAAACCATATCAACAGTATTGAAATAAAACTGATTCAAGTTGGCAAATTATATTTTAATGGGTTTTAAATAATTTGTTTTAGTCAGAGTTTTTCTTGAATTTTGTAATTTAATTATTTTTAATGATTTTTTTTTGTGTGTGGCCCTATTAAGTAGCTATTTAATAAAAAAGGGGCACATAAATTTTTTAAATCTAATTTAAAATAAATTTGTGTCTAGAAATGCTAAATTATATCTCTTAAATGCACTGACATATTTTCGAAGTTTGTATTTTTTTCTTTTTAGAGGTGATTTTTTTTCTTCAAATTTCTTAATTTAAGCTATTTTTTAATGAAGCAGCTATTTTTTTATTAAAGAAATGACTTATGCATGTGACACAGATTTTTATAAATTAATTTAAAGTGATCTTATGTAATGAAACCAATGAATTAAATCTATTATATGAATTTTAGAAAAACAAACATGCTATTTTTTAAAAGTGTTTATTATCTTGTTATTACACAGAATACTATAAAATTAAAATTATATTTTATTACTCAAAATCTTATTAAAAATTCTTTTAGCTGCTATCAATATCTTTTTGTCTGAAAAAATGGTAAATATTCAATTAATGTATTGCTTATTTCCATTAAAAAAAGTGCAAGTGGTTGTGATTATATAAAAATTACTTAACTGTGTAATACTAATATTTTTTCCACATTTAAGTCACCTTTACTGTATTTTCTGTTTTATATTTTAAAACTAGACTAAATTCAAGGAAAAATAAATCTCTTTTTATTTTAATAGTTCTGTGAGTATCATTTAAATAGTTTTAATGTTTTTTAAAAGTACATTAACCTTTGCTTTCAGCTATGAGAGTGTCCATACTTTTTTTTTTTGCATGATGATGACCGTATTCAAAGTTGAAATGGAATCTTTTAATTGTTTTAAAGAGTTAATGATATTGACCTTTCACTATTTTATGTTTGTGTGTTTCCCCCTTTCTTTTTATAATGAACTTTTAGTTATGCTTAATTCTTAGTTTTGATTATTAATCATATTTTCAGTTGCAAAATGGATATTGTTTGTGATTTGGCAAATGTAATTATTTAATTGGAATATTTTTATTAAGTTTTTTAAAGATAATTGATACAATCATCATAATTAGTATTTATTTATCTTAAATAGTTTTACATAATAGGCTTAAAAGAAGGGTTCGGAACTGAAGATAAAACTGCACCATTTGCAGACCTTGTGCAAGCTTCAGTTTATTTTGGTAACATTTTAGAGTTTACAATTGGAATAAATCTTTCAAAGTTATAATTCCTGAAAAGCACAATATAACAGATATACATAATGAAGTTGAACATTTTGATTGTAATGAACGATCTGAAATGTACAATAATTGATATATATATATACTCCTACCCTTTGGGTATTTCCTTTCTAGGCTAAATCTAAAACATTTACTCACATTTCACTTAGTCAATCGCTTAATGAGTACTCTAAAGTTGTACCTTGGGATCAATAAGAAAATCAAAACATCTCAGAAAAACCTTATAGTCTCAAACCATTTAAAATAATAATTTTTTCCCCCTATTTCTACACCGTCAATCCCAAATCTTAATTTACGAAAATATTTATTCTTTGTCTAAAATTTTGTTCAAGTTTTTAAAATCTTGTTAGAATCAATTTTAAATTGATTTGTACTTCATCTGGAATATTTTTGCATAATTTTTAGGATTTTAATGTTTTAAATGCCTATCTTTTACAAATAATACTTTTTTCAAATTTGGTTAAAATTAATGTTTAGTAATAATATACTAACTTTAATTATAATATTAAAAATGCCATTTGATTGGTTTAATATTATGAATCAATATCTTTAAATATTTATGTCAATGAAAAAAGTGGGTTCAAAACTCAAACATCCTAAACTATTGTTATTAGTTATCACAAACTATTGTTTCAGTTCCAAGTCATGAGTCAATAATTCATTTTACAATGAGTATATTGTATATATTAGCTTTCTCAATTGCATTTTATTATTTTTCTTTTGTCAGTTGTATTTATTTTCCTCTAGTGTATCCTTTTTCTTTGTTTTACTTTTTTTAAGTCATTGCGCTATTTTAGAAATTTTTTCCTCTTTTACTTGACATTGTATGAAATCTACATTAACGTGATTCTTGAATTTGTTTCTTAATGATTTGCTCAATTCTTACCAGATATTGACTGCTCCTATTACTTTTGCTCAGTTGTTGCTGATAAAAAAATAAGACTGCTTTCACAATGAAAAGATGAAGAAAAAAAAATTGTGAAATATTTAAAGCCTAATGTTTAGTTTTGTAAATGAATTGATGATTATCATGTCTGTACATTTGTTAATCTTTTGATGATGCATTAAAGGAGACATATATGATGATTGTAAATAAATTGAACATTTTTTACTGAATTTGTGTTACTTGGTTAGGTCAAGAAAATTTTTTGACTATCATTCAATTATTTTTATTTGTTTATGTTTCATTCAATTGATTATCCTAATCTCTCAATTGTCTCGTGTAGTAGACTTCCTTTGGACATTGAGGACAGTTATTTATTATTTTTTTAAAAATTTTTTATTCAGTGGTAGCAACATTTATTGTTAAATATAAAATTTTAGTTTAAGAATTTTAAAGATATATATATAAGGTCCATAGCTGACAATTGTAAAACCAGTTTCTCTTGGTCTATTGGTTTAATAAAAATTCTCATGGTTTTTGTACATTTTGGAAAATTCCCTGAAATTGAAAAAAATCACTTTTGAAATAGAATTTTTGAACAGATTATTGCCTGCTTAAATATCTAAATGAGTATTGCTAATATATAATGAAGCTAGTCTCATTTATAGAAATCAGCTTTGTTCTAAAATGTTAAGTTTATTTTTATTCAGAACGCCCTTTTCAAATTATTATTAAAAAAATCTTAATTATATCTTATTAAATGCCTATTACTATTCAAAATTATGAATAAACATTATTTCCAACATTTCAAGCATATTTATGCCTATCATGACCAGAAATGATTGCCGTTTCTCTATTTTGATGTCTATAAAATTTCCTATGTGTAAAATATTTAGTACATTATGCAACAATTATCATAAAATTTATATTTTGTAAAATCAACTGGTTTTTTTTCCTGTCCATGTTGGCAGCTATGAAGGTCTTATAGTTTGGATATAATGATTTTAAGTGCTTAGTTTTTCCAAAATTCTTGTTTCAGACAACATTTTTCTACTATATCATACGATCTTTCCAAATGATTACGTAAATTGTAAGTGGGTTAATTTTTGATTAATATCTGTTTTGCATAAGAAAAAGAAGTGAAATTTTATTTTCTCCCTTTAAATTGACATTACAAGAATAAATGAAGTGTTTAATGGAAGAAACGGGTAAGGGACATTTTAGTAAATTTGAGACATTGCTCTTTTAACTTAATGCATTCTTCGTTTTTGTTGTTCTGCTTAATCTTGATGCTTTTAGTATATTTAGGAAGACATCACTCATTAGTGTTTTTGGGGATTTATTTATTTTACCCATTACTCTTTTATAAAGGAACATTTTTTATAATTTTTGTTTGTTGCATTTACTTGTTTTCATGGGAAATTAGTTTTTTAACGAAGTCTCTTTGAAAACCAAACATATACAATTACTTAGGTTTATATTCGCAAACTGAAATTTGAGCAACCTCAATTCGAGACAAACATTCATCGAGTTTTTTTCTAGCCTTGTTAGTCCGAAAAATGTTCTAAAGTGTTTCGGAGGCAGCTTGAGCTCAGCATTCGCAAGGTAGATGTTTTACGGGCATATATTATTTTAATATGCGAGTAATCGGTAATTATTAATATGAGAAATAATTCTTTTAAATAGTACTGATTGTGTTCAAAATTACGTCATTTCGTTGCATCTAAAGGTATGGAAAAGGTATTCGTTGCATCTAAAGGAAAGGACTAAAGAAAAGCGTTTTTATTAATTTTAATTTAAAAAAAATATCTATTGCTGTTGAAAAGCAAATTATTGTAAATTTTTTTTTCTTAAAAATAAACAGTCTATGCAAAATGACTTTTTTTAATCTATAAAACTATTTTGGGTATTTTTCTATCATGATTATTTGTGCGGCTCTCGTTGTCCATTTTCTGCATTGAACAGCCAATCCACTCTAGTGAATATGCTACTTTTTTCATTTTTAATATCTTTCCCTTGAATCTAGAAGAGAAGGAACACCTACTCAAAAAAATCAGTTCACATTGACCTACCAGAAGAATTTATTTTTAGCAAAACTAATCCTTATTTGTACAAAATGAACGTATAGCCTCTTTCCACGAATTGGTTAGCCCGATGCTAATTGAGCTTTGATCTGTCTTAACCAAAATATAATTTGCTTCAACAATGTTCTGTTTACAGGGAGCAAAATAAAGTTTAACTATCTGCCATTCGTTCATATGCAGACTTAATCTGTCTTTGCTGAGCCATGCTGAATTTTATGGAAAAGTTGCCATTAGATTTGTTTCATATATATGATGCGCTTAATATTTTGGATTGAACACATAATATTTTAAGCTTGTGCACACATCTGAAAGATAATTGATTAACAGTTTAAAAATAGTTCAATATTTTTCGTGATAGGTATTACTAATACGTTATTGTTTGTTTTTTTGATGTGTACAATGTATACTAATATAGAGGTACCACTATACCTATTATAGGTACTGTGGAAATAGGTTTTTTTTTTATGGCCCATCGAACGGTTTAAGGCCAAAGAAAGTTATTGATTATGGTAATTTTTCCCTATCAAGAGTGTTGCTCTTGAGCAATATCATTATGCTAAATAATACTGAATATTATTAATCTTTATTTTGCTAGGATGAACTGCCAACAGCGTTAAAGTCATCAGAAAGAGCAACAAATAATAATTAAAACAATGGAATTGTTTTAACTTATTGTGACATATCTTGTGCATGATTTCTTATTGATTATTACCGATTTATCTTTTTTAATTATTGGTTCGTAATCGAATTAACTTTACTTCTGAATGTATGAAAGCTGCTGTTACCTTTACCAATTTCTCCAGAGTAACTTTGAACTCTTTGCTTTTATAGCAAGTGTCACTCCTCTATCCACTGAGTAATTTCAGAATTAATATTTAACAGTATAAATTAATGTTATACTAATAAAGCAAAATTAAGAACCTTAATTTTTTAAAAATGTCACCTCTTTCTTCCACTAAGCTCTTCAAATAAACGAGATTAACGCTGTAAGTTAAGATACTCTATTTCCGAAACTCCTCTCATTCATGAAGAAAACTGCCGCTGATTTGCTAAGGGACAGATATTGACAATAGCACCTCTCATTTTGGTTGGAGGTGCTATTGTCAATATGTCTTATTTTATCCTTACACACCTACACCTCCCGCATTGTAAATCTTAAACCTCATCTCTTTAAAGGTTGTGATGAGAAATTATCTGTCAATTAAAAGAGTAGGTGGACAAGAACCTTGTTTTGTTATACACGTGAGAACGATCGATTTATTTAAAAACATTCACAATCAAAACTTGGTTATCATCTTCGTACTCAAACGATCTAATCTCATTTTTAACATCTATCTATGAGTGATCAAGTTATTTTGATTCAGTTGTCCGGTGATTGCACACACTTCTGAATGTTTAATTTATGCTTTTGTTTGTAATAAACCTTCTTTGCGAAAAAGTATAAAACTTATTCTCCAAACATCGTTTCAATGTTAGGAAACAGACTAGTTTAGGAGATCTAACTTAGCTGCTCTTCATAATTCAACTGTGCAAAACCAGCGAAAGAAGATCTGTCATATTTTTGAACTTTAGTACGAGGTGAGACAATTTCCTGACTGAATAATTGAAAAATATTTAAGGTGTCAATTCAAACATAGACTAATATTTTATCTTAAATTTGTGAACTTGGACAGCCATCGTCAATTTTTTGTGTAGTCTAATTTGTTGTTGCAATGATTAGCTCTCTTCAATAAATTATTTTTTAGAACTTGAAAAATTAATTTTTTTTATTATCCGAATATTGATGGTAGTGTGATCTTGTTTCAGAGGTAATTTAAGAATTCTAGCTTCTTAATTCTCTCATGTTGCAGATTTTCTCAGACTTTTCATAAAAGATTGTCCGGGTGCGTCCTGGAATTCTTGTCCATCAAACAATCATCCTATTTCATAAGATATTTAGTGCTATGCTACAATTGCAAGTGAAAATCAAGGGTTAAAAACTATTTACGTCCATTCCGAGGTATAATCAGCCTAATATCATTTTGGACTCAATTATGACAAGAAAAGAACTGTTGTAGAAAATTACTATATACTATACCATGTTTAAAAGAACAATTATGGAATGATGATAAATTAATAATGTTTCATTCTTTTTATAGTAGAACTAGAACTTGAATGTGATCATTTTTGAAAATTCATTCCTCGAAAACCATTCGTACAAAAATAATTTATATAAGATGAATTATTCTGCCACACTCATTTCCTTTTTTTTTTTTTTCTCGTGCCTTTAAGTTTGAAACTGATACCAAGTTTTCAGATTTTTTATTATATACATAACTTGAACATCAGTACTCATTTCATTAGCTGAACGTACTGTTAAATGTTTCATTTTTTACAGAGAGTACGTCGCCATCAACAGCCCAGCTAGGAAAAGTGTTCAAATCAAATAAGGCAACGCCTAGTGTGTTCAACATGAACATCTGAATACTGCAGCAAACTATATTCATGACAAATCCAGGTTTTACCTACAATATAATAATTCCAATCATAAGTAAAGTATAGTTAATCAGCAGGAGAGGTACTTGAATCATAACTAATCGGTGATTATTGCCCTCAATTGAAATAAGAATACCAAATCATACCCCAGTTATGTCCAGCCAATTCGAGTGCTACGATGAGTTGGTTGTTTTGTGACGTAGGAAAGGTAACTACTGATAGATTTTTCCCCTTACACATTCAACGGCAAAAGAGATGGATAATGAATAAATATCTGTCAGGGACTGAAGATTTCTTCTTCATGAACGGGTACACCGAGGCTTTGCCAGAAAACCGAAATGCTTAATTATTTTACACTTCTCTCCATTTTTACTGTCGTTGCACAGCCGACCGAATTTTCAGTTTACAGCTATCAATGTTCAACTCCTTAGCCTGGAAATTTTGAACTCAATCCAGAAGGCGAAGGAACTCCTGGATCAAGTATTGGGAGAAATTTGCCTTCGTGGAAGACTTCTTGGTCGAACTAACCCGCATTTGCGTTACACGGAGAGGAAAACCTCCCACGGTTAGCCTGACAAGGGGACTCTAACCCATAATCCGTCTACCACTGGGGATATTTTACGTCAGCACTGTTGTCGGTGCAGAATTCGAATCAACCTGCCATTGCTGGGATTCGAACTCAGTTCACCTCATTGGAAAGCAAGTGCTCTATCCAAGGCCACCACGGCTCACTGTCGTGCAATTAAAAAAAAACAACGCAAGTGTTTCTCGAGAGATTCCGAGAAAATTAGCTTGGTAACTCATTTCTTTCTATTGCTAATGCTATGGAACTTCAGAAAACTGATAAAGCAAAATTCATTTTTTAAAAAAAGTCTTTTTGGAAATATGTAGTTAATCGTACAGGTATGCCAAATATATAAAAATTTCAATCTCGAATTTTTTGTCGCTTGCGTTGATTTTCCTTTTGAACGGCACATCACTCGTCCGAGTTGATGTGCAGTGCGCAAAAGAAAAAATAAGTAAACGGACCATTCTGAATAACTTTTGATCTAATGATCTGATCTTAATGTTCTAAAACTTACTGGTTCGAGAGGGTAATCTCAAATTTACTAATTCAGTGCAGCCGATATTTTAGTTAACGAAATCAGACACAAAAACGTACTCTCTCTGAATAAACATACTTTTTTGGGGGATGAATTCGGATTTTTGACAATCTGAGCTGCAATCTGGGAAATATGGTCCCAATAGTTTGGTCAGGAGTGTGTTTCAAAGTTTAGACCCCTTTTTGTTAATTATACTTTTTGTATATTTCGCCATATTTCATGAACTTTTTAAGCAAATTGAAGAATTGTTGGAAATTTTTGTAATCTCATAATTATAAAATTCGTTTATACAAAGATTATTCCATGCATAATATAACTTAGTAAAAACTTATTATATTATTTAATCATAGTTGAAAAAATTGAATCGTAAGATATAATTTTTTATTTTAAGGAATGTAACTTAACATGGCAAAATTTGTACGAAATCGATCGAAAAGTTCTACAGAAATCAAATTTAAAAGAAGGCACATTTAAAATTCAATTTCTCATGAACTCTTGCACCGATTTTGCTCAAACTTTGTATTTTGCAATGAAAAGTTACATTCTTTAAAATGATGTAAGAAATCGCATGTCATACAATTCAAAAATGTTTTGACCGTTATTATATAAAATAATAAATATTTACTTAAAGTTATTTTTTTGCATAGAATTATCTTTTAATAAACAAATTCTATTTTTGCGTGCAAATTTTTTTTAAAAATTCGTTTAAGAAGTTCTCGAGATATGATGAAATGCGCAAAAAGTAAAAATGACACTATAAGGGGTCCAAACTTTGGATCGCTCTCTTGACCAAACCATGGGGATTGTTGCCACCCCCTATATTTAGAGGGTCAGAAATCCTTATCTCCATCGAAAAATTAGGTATGTTTATTCCGAGAGAAAGTGCGCTTTTGTGTCTGATTTCGTTGTTGTTACTTATCTCCGAAGGTCTGACGGCATCAGACCAGATCCATAAGTCTGTTGACGAGTAAAAAGTCGGAAACAAGGAGAGTAGAAGTGTAAATTCCATCCCGAAGAAGTCTCAAGCAGCTTGAAATATGTTCAGCTGAAACCTGGTGGCATTTTGGGCAAAGAGGGTAGGATTTTATACCCTGAGAAAAAGTACGACATTTAAGATGTCCACTGGCAAGGCGTGAAAGGCAAGAATTGATTGTCTCAAATAATATCCGATTTCGTAACTTATAATATCGTCTGCACTAAGTAATTAGCATATTCGAGGTCAGCCCCTCAAGCCATTATATTTGACTCCTAGAACATGAAAATTCGATTCAGCATTAATCAAATGCATGTATTTGGCGAAATAGACACTTTTACGACCGTTTTCTTGAAAATTAACCGATCGTTAAGGGGTTAATCAGCCCACCTAGATCAAGTTCTAATATTTACATCCGGCGAGAAGTTTTATACCGTAAAACTTTACATTCGAATGAGAGGCTATAAGTTACAAAAGAAGCTTTCTATTGATAAAGACATTAAAAAAAATATTCTGATAACTGTTACCTATGTATTTACATGAGACAAAACCCCTATTGCACATTTAGTGGTACTTCGGTTTTACGTTGTCCGTTTCGTACATCATCTCGCTTGCTACGTTAAGTTCTGCTGGCCCGTGAAAATTGTCTATACACGCAGACATATAAATAGTTTTCTGGATGTTCTTTCTAAGAATTGCCAATGCGTCTGTGTTTTTCTTTAATAAAAAAAGTATTTTCTTGCAATAGTTAATACATAAAAATAGTCTTTAGTGCTTTGGTAGCTTGTATACACGATCGCAATAGTTTTTTCTTTCCATTTAAACTCATAGATTGCAAGTGTTTCTGGTTCGCGTAAATATCTGTCCGAAAAAAAGGCTTCACCAAAGAAAAATAATCCAATCGCCACTTTGCAAAATCCCGCATTGAACTGATCACAATAGGATCACAAAGGCACGGCTATCACAGAAATCAAGCATCACGGCAGAGGTCATTGAGCCATGAGTGCCTGCGTAGAGACCGAGGGTTCTCGATGTCTGTTCTCGGTTAAACCATATTACCGTAAAATACCAGAATTTTCGAAGTGGGGGTGCCATCCCCTCTGCAGAGGATCGAAATTGTGATGGCATGTCTTCGGATCGTAATCGATGATGTTTCTCAGACCATCTCCAATAGTCCATTGAGCAATGCTACAACTGTGTACGAGTCCATTTTTCCGTTAACTAGTTATATTATAAAATGACATCACACCTTTGATACGACTTGCGTTATTTTCAAATTAGCGGCTCTAGTAATCTGCCAGGGCATAATATTTAATTATAAATAATTTTTCTACAAATTTTTCATACTATTTTAGAAACCTTAAGGAAATAATGGGGAAAAAAAAGAACTTACCATATCGATTGTGTTCATGTTACCACTCTGATAAGCAATGGCATTGGGTGCTGTTGCAACCGGTAGCATGAAGGCGTATGAACAAACAACAGTTACAGGTAGCATAATGTATAAAGGATTCACATGAATAGCTAAAGCCTTGAGAAAAAAATTAGTCAAAAGTTTATTTGAATTATTTTTCGAAATGCCGATAGTAATTTGATGTGATTTATATATTCGAAATATATTTTAGTTTGGGGGCACTTCCCTATTATAAAATGTTTCCACGTTATGCCTTTGAACGTGTACTTTTATTTATCCAAAATATATTAACTTTGCGTTAATTTTTTGCTTTCTAAAAGAGATTGCTGTTGGAAATAGCATTTAAATTGATGCAGTATTAGATTTTTAATCGCAATTTGATGATTTGGCAAGCTCGCCAAATCATTAAATTACGATAAAACAGCTATTTTTGCGTCTATCTGAATGCAATTGTCAACAATAATAATTGCAAAACATAAATTAACCTGAAATTAAGAACATTTAGATAAATAAAAGTACCTTTCCAAAGGCACACGTAGGTACAGTTCAAAATAGGAAAGCACCCCTTGCGGTGCAAGATTACAGTTTCGGTAATGGTATCCCTTGCAATTCTTAATCCGACCTTCTCTTGAAATTTATCGCAATATTTACGGAATACCCCGTTTACTATACATGAAAAAATAATTTGACGCGTCTTAATTAATTGATAGATGTAATTAAGAAGTATAAAAGAATTATATTTCGTAAGCAAATAATGCTGAAGGTGCGCAAGTTTGGAATAATATTAGTATGGTTCTGTATTTAAATCTACACATTTAATAAATTAAGAGTTTCGGCCACGTCGGTTTAATTTAAAGATACAAAATTTATTGTATACTTTCATCTATTTATCATTCTATTTTACTTGATTTACAAACAAAGATATTTGTTTTATTTCCTAGCGACACAATCGGTCACTTGCTTTTGCTACTTAATTCACGTGTTGATCTATCTTTAGTTAGTGTGTCTAAATACTTAATTACGAATGGATGGTTGACTGAATGTATACAATAACAAGCTTCCTCAAACCGGAAGAGATTCAGAAGACTTCCGGTGTATCCCTCCGCTTATGTTATGCTTACGAGGCGATGTGTGAACAGGCTTAATATTCTGGAAAGTTCTATTATTGCGATTTTTATTTAAATTTACGCGTAATTTTATCCTTTATAAGAGTTTTTTTAATAATTTCCAACAGGTCGTGAACCTAAAACAAACTTAACAATATTAATATCATAGCATAAATAAAGAGTAAGGTTAGTCATGTTTTGAGTGTTCTCTTATTGGTCTATATTTGTGTAAAATAGCGCCATTTGTTATTTTTTGGGGAGCATCACAGCAAGCTTACGGAGTCTTCCGAATTCATTTGTTGTGTTGAAAGTTCGATTGAAAGAACGCGTTATATTGAAAACACTACAATAAAATTGGATGGTGCGTTTTTCAAGCTTAGGTGTAAAAATCAATTGGAAGTAGTAACCCGGAAGTTTAACGACGAATTTTAACCTCTGGCGCCATCTGCGCTTAGCTTTACACTGTCAACCATCTACAAGACGACCGTTTTGTGACACATTCTCTCAGACTATGAAGTCTAATTTTATGAAACATAAATATGTACAGGGTGTTCCAACGTTTTAAAAAAGCAATTGTTGGAAAAAGATCAAAATTTAGGGTTTGCTGCTGCGCTTTGCTTAGATAACAAAATATTTTATTATAATTTACTCGGAAACAGTTAGCGCTGTTTAGGTTTGAAAACAGGTAGGGCAGGTAACCAATTAAAACTACAAGAGCAACGTTTTCAAAATAACCACCACATACATAAGCAACATGGTGCAAACTGTGAACCACATTGACGAATGCCCGTGCCAATATTCTGATATGCAGTAATGACACAGTTTTTCTAGCCATATCTTGACCAACCTTAAGTCTAATTTTAGAATTTATTGCGAACATAAACTTGTTTGTCTAAATCATTGTTTCTCAACGGGGGCGTTGGGAGTATGCTGAGAGGCGGTGAACTTGCTTTGGGCTGTAGGGGGGCTTTGGGTATGTTTTGGGCGGTAGGGAGGCGATGAGCATGTTTTGTCAATCAAATTTAATTTTAAAACTTACAAAAAAAATTATTAAATTAAATTTATTTAATAAATAAAATTAATAATTCAAAAAAGATTAAGTTAATAAAATAAATTAAGATTAACCGATGCACCTTTTGTACCACCAATAAAACGAACTTACACGGCACCTATTCTCCGAACCAACCCAGCGCAGCGCATTAGTCAGTAGTTTTTGTCTCTGATTTATTCAAGCTATTTCGCGACTGGCTCTGACTCATTCAAGCCATTTAGCGGAAATCGAAGTGCATGAGCTTTCGGTATGAATGTTTGATTTGACCCGTGTTTCTTATGATGATTTTCGATACCTTCTTTACAGTTTCTTCTCCAGTTTCGATTCGATCTCATTATTTATTTAGCCAGGTATGTGCGGGAATTAGTACTTTACTATAAATTATTTATTAATTTGGAGAAATAGTTGATTTTCCTTCATCGTTTGTATTTTGCTGCCATTGTGTTATTACAATACCGTGCCACGTACTTGAAGTCTGTATTCGTTCAATCGCTGTTGAACTTTCAGCTGCCCATGTGCTTACTTTGTAATAAAGTTTTATCTAATGAGACAAGGAAAACTTTCCGCTAACAGGAGCTTTTGCCGAAAAACTCATATTCACAAACAAAATAAAGATATTTAATTTTTTGCGAACATCAAAGACAAGTTCCTGAAGGCACCTTCGGTCTCAGGGTTACTAGCAACATCATCACAAAAATACGATGATGGTTTGCAATGTAGGCTTTACTGTAGGCGTAGGTCCGGTTTGTAAAGGTTGGAAAAAGTATACAAGAGATGCTTTTTGCAAGGAGCTTGATTGTAGATACCGAAGGTAAATCTATTTTTAATACTGTCCCAGATTATTTTACAGAGAAAAACATTCCTATTGCGAATATTATGTCGATTACCACTGATGGAGCTCCTGCAATGGTGGGTCGAAATCGTGGGTTTATCGCACTTTTGAAAAGGGAAATAAAGACATTTTAGCTGTTCACTGCTTGAATCACAGGCAGCATTTAGTAGGAAAGAATTTCAGCGACTGTTTGCATCAGTTATTGCAATATGTCATATTTGCTGTGTACAAAGTTCACAGTAATGCTCTCAACGATTGAAGAATTCAATCACTTGCTACTACACTCCGAGATTCTCTGAATATCCAAAGGCGCCTGTCTCAATAGGTTTTGTAATCTTTTCGACTCTGTGCTTGAGTTCCTCTAAAAAAGAGATGTAGCTCTGATAGACAGATTGCTAGAATTCAAGAAAAAGACTTTGGCGGATTTATTTGTAAAATTTAATGGCATTAATTTACAACTTCAAGGCAACGAGCTCAATTTGATCCCTACATAATCAGTCATTTCTGCCTTCTTAAAAAAGCTCATTTTGGGGAAGCAGAATTTTGGTTGGAATGAGTTCAGCCAAGCAGGAGAAATTCGCTCTGATGATGCACAAGAATATTGTCAACACCTTGACTCTTTGCACATGAACTTTTCTGACCGTTTTAAAGATGCTTTGTTCCCTAGAAGTGCCTCAATGGGTTTATAGGTTCTGAACACTTTTGTGAATATTGAAACAGCAGAAGCTCAGATTTACGAGGAATTGGTTGAAATATTAACTAATGAAACTTTGAAGTGGTGATAGTCTCAGAGAATTTTGGCTTCAAGGTAACATCAGTCGCCTATACCCTGGACTGCGGACTATCATTAAAAATTTTTTAAATGCCTTCGCTTCCTCCTACCTTGTCGAACGTGGATTCAGTGCTGTTACGGAAAAAAAGAGAAATCAACTCGAAATTGTGCAACAAGGGGACTTGCGTCTTCACCTCACTATAAAAAAATTTAACCGAACGTTAAGAGACTAATGTTTCGTTGATACTACTTTTCAGTGTAAAAAAATATTTTGAGTGTTTTTTTAATTATCTAATTAAGAATAAATTATTCTTTTTAAGCATAGGTTTCCTAGTTGTATTTTTTTCATTACCGTATTTATTTTAATTAGTGCAAATAGACTGCGAATAACAGCCGTGAGAAAAGTATCGATAAATGTAGACATTTTTTTTAAAAACCAAACAAATTTAAATCTTAAAAAATTGCTTAATATTGTCGCTTATATTTTAACACACCTCGCTCCATCACCATGCCCTAAATAACTGGATTTTCACAAAGGGGAGCGTTGAAGTGTTTTTTTGCTCCTTAAGGGGGCGGCAACGTTAAAATGGTTGAGAATCTATGGTCTAAATGGAAACACGGCAGATGGTTCATTTCTGCTTTTTTTTTAAGTTTCTGCATGGCATTTTTGGATTTGATGAGTTTAAAAGTTTGTTATATTATCTGTGTGAAAAAATGGTAAAGCTTATGATATTGACAGTGCAAAAATAAAAAGTATCAGCAATTTAACGAAATTGAACCTAGGGCAAAATTGACCGTCACCACAGGTCTGAAGGAGCAACTAAATATGACATTAAAAAGTTGTGTTTGGAAGTCGCCACCGACTGTTTTCGACGAAATCGGACCCCACGTTCATTTGAATGTTATTTTTCTTAATAAATATAAAAATTATGAATATTTTAAAATCTAAAAATTGTTTTAATTCACTCTTTTTTCTTAAAATTTTTCGCTATTTTAAAGATGAACCTTATAATGTTTACCATCTTTTGAGAAATGCTTAAAAAATTCTTAACTTAGCCCTAAACATATTTATCGTTAAATATTAGTTTTCGAATTTAGAACAATATGTTGAACCATAATCATTGATATTAATTGACACTTCAACCATTTTGCCTTTTAATTTTATCATAATTATACCATAATAATTTTACCATTTGACTGAAGACAGGCAAAAGTATTGTGGCTGTGGTTGAGTTGGATGCTACTTCCGTAATCATGGCTGTCATGAAACACGAAATGGCTGTTATTGCAGAGGATGGCAGGACTTGAAGAGACGTCAGTTGCTCTCCCACATATTTAGACAGTCCCGATTTCTGAAAGAAATTGTTGATTAAATGTTTTTTCTCCCCTTCTTCCATTTGTCTTAACCTGCTCAGCAGGACAGACGCACATTGAATGGAACTCGGAAAAAGCTGGGCACGACTTCAATTATATTTTCCAAGAAACCTCAATATACAGGGTCTTTATAATTAAAGTTCCACTTTGAAATGGCTATAAAAATAAAACTACCCGACCAAATGTCATCAAACTTGGTAAATGTCTATAAGAAATCATGGGATTTTAGTTCCCGCAACAAAAAACAAAAAAAATATTTAAAAATTTACCACCAGCGGAGAATGGCGCTGTATGCAACAGTGTTAAACAAATGTGAAATATGCAAATTTGTTTTACACGTCTTTTACCGTAAATTTGCCGTAAACCTTGAACGTAAAGAAAATTAGTGGAACTTTAATTATAAAGACCCTGTATATGAGCTTTCGAGGTTTTCGCGATTACGAATCAAAATGGCTTTGCAATAATAGCGGCGTTTACGTTAAAATTTAAAACATTAAAATTTCGAAAGCATTAAAATAGAATAAGTTAGACAAATAAAAATATGCGATAAAATGCTCACAATGATTAGTCCATAGTAGGGAAGTACCCCTAGTGGCCTACGATGTCATTTCCAGCTATGAGTTGCTATCTATTCAAAATCCTTACGAGATACCCTATAGTTTGTCTACGGTAAGAACTCCCTCCCGCCACAAAATCCGCCGCCGTCTGCTGCTTTGGAAACAAGACTATCGTATTTCAGGGAGGGTAACTTCTCTTCACCCTGGGGCTAACACAATAGACGGAAGAAACCAATTTCCTTTCGGTCACCGACAAGAGCCAAAACTTGTCCTAAACAGTGAGTCCACATCCTTACTTGAAATGGTTATACCCAGGGCTTATGCAAGTATTACTACAGGTTGGCATGCCATTAGGTAAGAGTCTTCAGTGACTTGGTATTTCCAACACTGTTTATTAAATGCCATTGCCTAGTATTTCCAACACAGTCTTTATCAGTAGCAATTAAACTTAAGAACGCACGTGGTAATGTATGGTTAAAATTACTTTTATAATAAATGCAGCTATAGTTTTAAAATTCATAAATTTAACTTTCATTAGTTGAAAATATATGCAGCATGATAGAGTAACATTGGATATTGTTTTTTTCGATTCTTGCTTTTCATGTAGATTTCTTTTATGGTTAAGATTTATAAAATAAATAGTAGATAATAATTTGCAAGATAAAGGTGCATCAATTGCTATTTTAATTATGTTTGGTGCTCATGGATTTAAAACCTGTTTTGTGTTGAATAAGTATTTCAAATGGTGATTTTCTGTTTAATGAACTTTCCATATAACGAACTTTTTCTCGGGATTTAGCGACTTCGTTAAATAGAGGTCAGACTAAAAACCTTCAGCCTAAACTAGCGTTGCACGCTTGTGTTACGTTGCAGGGCTGTTTGTACCCTGGACACAGAAAGCCCTAATGTAGCTTTGCCTGCAACTAACATCAAATATAAAATAAAAAGTCTCGTCGTAATTATTTTAATTTTTTGAAATAAATAATTTTATTTTAAACACTAAAATTTTAAAACAAGGAATTTTAATTAAATTAATTTTAAACTATAAAAGAATGTCTACTTTTTAGATCAATAGTTATTGACAGTATTTAAAATTTTCATACAGATTTCGACTTAAATTGTTCTACAGAAACATTTAATATATATACAATATATATCTCTGCGATGTGCGACGCAGTTTTAAGTACTTCTACTTTAGGGCCTTTACCGTTGTACGAAATAAAGCATACTATTTTTAATTATTTTACAAACTGAAAGTTTTAGAACGTATTATTTAAAAAAAAATTGAACTTTTTAGAAAATAATCTTGATCTTGATTTTGGAAAGTAATATTTGAGCGTCAATTGTACATAAGACCCCAAGCAACAAATCTTACTTAAATTTTAAGGCAATGTTAAGCTGTTTTTCTTTTCTGTAATTATAATTACTTCTTGCAGCGCAATCCTTTTAAAAATACTTTCGATTTTTCGAAATTTTGATAATAAATACGGCGTAGAACAAATGTTTTTAAAAGTGCACCAAGGTGAAAAAAATCTTGAAATTGTCAATACAAATATAAGTTTAACCATTTATTTTTCTGTTACTGTATATATTTACATTTATGAGTGTATAAAACTGCTATATTCAACCGTTTCAGCGTGTTACGTAGGTAACTTTTAAGATATAAAATTTAAATATTTAAGTACATCGTTTGTAATTAATAAAAATATATATTAGAATATTAAAAATATTTTTTAATAAATTCCTAACAATGCTCTGTCAAAGTTCATTCCAATCATAGTTGCACAACAATGAGTAAAAAACTTTTTTATCGACGTTAAGTTGCATTGTTGACCAACAATGGAATTCCATAAATTTCAAATCGTGTTCCATTTTATTCACTTGAGTTTCTTGCTTGAAGTTGATAGTGCTGATTTCTGAGAGATTTGGAAAAAAGCGAATTTGGATTTACTTCTTGTAAGATTTAAAATGTCTGCTGATCTGAAAAGAGCTAATAGACACGCCCAACGTGTTGCCCGTATTAGCAAAGCAGCTGATATATTGAAAAATGATGGAGAATATGCGAACTTAGATCCTATTGGATCTGGCACTTATGGCCGAGTGTATAAAATGGCTTCTTCATTAACTAAATTGGAATTGGCCGCAAAGTTTGTGCCTTTTGAGATCGCATCAAAGAATGAAGTTGAATTGTGGCCAAAACTTAACCATCCTAACTTAGTCTCTGTCAAGAGCATAATGAAGTTACCAAATCTGAAAGTCCTTGTTTTCATCATGCCGCTTTATCGGATGACATTGCACTTGGCTATTCAAGATGCAGAATTCCGTTGTAAAAGCGGAGCATTTAAAAATGTCAAATCATGGATGAAAGATATGCTTCGAGGTCTAGAATACCTTCACCGAAATGATTTGTGCCACTTAGACCTAAAGCTTGACAATATACTGATTTCGGAGAGCAATACTGCCCTATTGGCTGACTTTACCTTCTTATGGGATACTAAAAAGGCTCTTACGAAGTACATATTAAGTTTTTTTTCAAAATTATTTATGTTTTTATTATTTTGTTTATGTCTAAATGGTAATTCTCAGTAACATAATCATTTGGTACAATTAGGGGGCAAAATATTGTAACATTATTGATGTCTTTAAACTACAATAAAACATAATTCACTTTAAAATAAACTTTATTAATCACTTACTTCAACGAACATAATCTCATGATAATAAAAACAAACTTCTTTACAAAATAAATTCAAAACTCACCTCGCTCATTCAATTAGTAAACTGTCTTGTACCACGCGAGACTCATTTTTATTTTATTTCATTAATTTATCAACCCAAGTTTTTCAGTAAGGTTTTTTTCAAATTCAAATTTCCATTCCTTTTGGTTTCACTCAGCATTATTTCTAATATTTGTTCTTCTACCTTTATTTTTCACTTCTCTTTAGATACCTTTACTAAAGGAAAATTTGGGATTCTTACAATTTTTTTCCTGATATTCTCTGTATGATAAGAAAATGTTATTGTTTTTTTTCCCTCTAAATTAATGATTCATATTGAAATTCGTTGTCTGATACCTAAATTCTTTCCAAAATCAGAGCAATATGATCGATTTTTGCAATTAATTTTGCCAAGCAATTATTTAGTAATTGTATACTGTGTAAGTAGTTTCTTGACTTCATCAGTGCATTTCGAAGGACTGATACTTTTAGTACCAGTGCTTTCTGACATTTTGGTTGGCAACTCTCTGTTGTCATAAACCTTTTCAGTAATAGACGCTTTATCAAATCAATTATTCAGCATTACATCTTGTGTTTGCAGTTTCTAAAGTCATTAATTTTAACTCTCAAAGGTCTGATTTCTTAAATACCAGTAATTTCTGATTTTATAGTCGCCATGACTTTAAGAACTTATTTTACTAATCTCTAACTTATTTTGAACATTTTTTAGTTTTAAAAAGTCAAATCTTCTCAATTTGATCGAATTTTGCAATTAATGTATTCAATAAATTATTCAGCAAAGCATCCTGGGTTTGCAGTTTCTAGATTTTACTAATTTTGACTCTAGTAATGCTTTTCAAAGGTCTTATGTCTCAAATACAAGTACCTTCTGACTTCCAAGTCGTCTTCTCATCTTTGTTGCAAGGAGGTCATTTTATTAATCTCTAACCAACTTTAAGCATCTTATAGATTTTTTCCCCCAATTGTTTTAAACTTATATTTTAACGTTCTGTTCTCCAAGCTGATGGAGTTTTTTAAAGAATCAAAATCTTCTGCATTTGCCCTACTTCCTCAATTAACGCATTAAATAAGTTATTCAAAATTTATCTAATGTTTGCAGTTTCTTGGCTTCACTAGTTTTGTCTCCATTATTGTTTTTCAATCAGCTGATGTCCTTAGTGCCAGGCCATTCTGACTTCAAAATCGCCAACGCTTCTTTGTCAAGAACTATTTCATTAATTTCTAACCCATACTTAAGGCACCGTTTAGATTTTTTTCAAACATTTAATATATATTTTTAATGTATTTATTGTTCCATTACTGTTTTTCAACCAACTGATGTCCTTAGTACCAATACATTCTGACTTCAAAATCGCCAACGCTTCTTAGTCAAGAACTATTTTATCAATCTCTAACTTACTTTAAGCACAGTTTAGATTTTTTTCAAACATTTTAATATCTATTTTTAATGTATTTATTGTTCCATTATTGTTTTTCAACCAACTGATGTCCTTAGTGCCAGTACATTCTGACTTCAAAATCGCCAAAGCTTCTTTGTCAAGAACTATTTTATTAATCTCTAATCTACTTTAAGCACCGTTTAGATTTTTTTTCAAGCTTTTTAATATCTTGTTTTAATGTACTATTCTCCAAGATTAATAATTCTTTTTCTTTCTTAAAGGAAACCACACATTTTCTCGTGTC